GCTGACCGCTCCATTCATCATCCTGCCGACCCACATCTTTCTTTGATTTACACCGGCCGAGCCACGCCCCCTTCCCCCTCCACCCACCCTTTGTAATTTTTTCTCCAATCCGTGCCGGGTTGCCGACAGGGACGTCACGAGCGCTCCTTCTCCGGTTGGCTGGCGGCCGCGGCGGGCCTCTCACCCAATCCCCTCGTCTCTTCGGCCGCTGCCGCCAGCGTCTGATTGGCTCCGGCTTCCCATTCGGCGTTTGGCGAGCCCCGGAGTGCTGTGCGTGACGCGTCCCGTCGTGCCCCCCTCCCCACCAGCCCTGCTTTGCCTGCCTCTCCTCTCCACCGCGGCCCTTCCCTGCGCGTGGGGCAGGCAGGCGGGCAGGCAGGCGCGCCTGGGCAGAAGGGGCCCTGCCCAGATTGGCCAGCAGCCGAACCGTCGCCAACTCCCCAAGTCCTCTTTGCACCGTCGGAGGGGAGAGAGCGCGTAACGGTGAGCGTTGGCTTGGTGATTGTGGGTCGCTCCTGTGGGTGCTATTGGGGTGGGGTGGGGTGGGGTGGGGGAGGCAGCTTTATTCCTTTCCCTTTATCCCCTCCCCCGCTGTCTTTTGCCCTGCATGAGTTCTTACTCCTTTACTGACCCTGGCTTTTGCGCCCCGAGAGAGAAGAGAGTTTCACTCTGGGGGTGTTAGTTTGTTCCGCTTTGGAGTACGCCAACTAGAAGAACCCAAAACTTAAATGCAGCAGCCTGATCGCGTTTGGATTAAAGGGGTGAGGAGGGTGGGGGTAGTGAGGTTTAAGGGAACTGCTGAATTGGCCATATATTGGGAATCTTCTCCGGTTGGGTGTGACTTAAATCTGGCTTTATTTCCCCGTATTCCCAAAACGTTGGCTTTAAAAATAATAGCAGTTTTCCCAAGCGTTTTCTGTTCTCCTGTTTTGGGGGTGAATCCTGCCGCTGAGGTGCAGCCCCCGAACTTACTTCACCCCCATAGAGTCCATCTGGGGTGAGGCTGATCCGTGGATTTGTGGATTCTCAGAAATAGGCGATCCGAGGTGGTCTCAGCTCGGGG